GATCCCCCAAAGCTGGAGTTGCAGGTAGCTGTTAGCCACCTAATGTGGGTGCTGGGAACTGAACTTGGGTCCTCTGAAAAAACAAGTGCTCTTAACCATTGAACCATCTCCCAATTCCTTAAGCAGCCATTTTTATAATTCTTCAAATGTGACCACTAACTCTGAGTCACTATGAATGATTTTGTGTTAGCTTTTAAGTTCTTTTCTCCATTGACTTCTATTACTATTACTATTAAATTTTAGACAAATAAGAAAATAAAGGTTTTTATTTTAAAATTAATGAGTTAACTCATTTCATGAGGAATTTTATATGCACAGAGGTCTTTATGTTTTTACTGTTTGAACCCTCCCTTAATGTATTTGCTAGAAATAATAGTGTTCAAATATTTTTAATCTACTTGTGCAACACCATAGTGTCTTTCAAAATTTGTTCATACAGGTTCTGAACTAAGGCCATATTTAAGGCCTAGAGGAGCTCACCTTTTACACAGAAGGTAAATAAAAATTCATAGTCATAACTGCAGATGAAAAATGTTTTCATGGAGCTATCGTAATCATTAAGGCAGTGGAAACATCCAGTTCATAGCCTAAAATTTTAAATTTATGCTTAGGGAGGGGTCAAATTTCAATGACTATTTTACCCACAATAACTGCCTATTTTGTTATAATAAAATACATAAAAATATAAAATTTTGTTTAACTACACTCTGCAACTATAAGAATTCTTTTTTACACAGTTGTACATACATACACACACATATCATGGGGTTTGATTTTGCTCAATTGCCTTTCCTACTAGTTCTCCTCATTTTATTAATAGAAAACAAACACACTCCTATTTTTGTAAATACCTCTTCAGACACTTCATCTTGCATAGCTGCACTGTACTAGAACTGCAAAGATCTTTATGGTAAACAATTTTAAGAAATTTTAGTATACATCAGAAATGCCTTCAGAAATCAGTTTCTCTACTCTGTTAATATCATTTGGCTTCCCACTGCTCTCTGAAGTTGTTTATTCAATTGGGGGGGGCTGTTTGAGGGGGTTGTTTTGTTTTGAGACAGGGTCTCTTTGTATAGCCCTGGCTGTTCTGGACCTTACCATGTAGACCAGGCCAAACTTAAACACACAGAAATCTGCCTGCCTCTGCCTCCCAAATGCTAGTGTTAAAGGCATCAATATGTGGGATTTTGACAATCTTGTTCAATTTTCTTATGAGTACTAGGTTATAAAGAATTATCAACATTACCCATTCTATTTATGAAAAAAGAGAAGAGCTAATAAACTTCATTATAGGAAAAAAAACTGTGACCACTAGAATGCTGGTCATCGTAGCACACACCTGTTATCTCAGCGCATGGAAGACGGCATCAAGAGGATCAGGAGTTCAAGGCCAGTCTCTGCCTCTTTAAAAGTTCAAGGCCAGCCTGGATTATACAAGACCCTGTCATTTAAAAACTAAACAATCACCAGACATTGTTGGTGCACGCCTTAAATCCCAGCACTCTGGAGGCAGAGACACACGCGGCTCTATGTGACTTTGAAGCCAGCCTGGTCTACAGAACGAGTTCCAGGATAGGCTCCAAAGCTACAGAGAAACCCTGTCTCAAAAACAAAACAAAAACAAAAACAAAATTAAACAATCTAGGGAGGTCCAGGTCCAAGCCTCAGGCCTGAGAGCATCGTCAGAGGGAGGCCTGATCCACTTGCTTAGAAGCAGCATCAGAGGGAAGCCCAAGCCTCAGGCCTGGGAGCAGCATCAGAGGAAGTCCTGAGCCTCTGGCCCAGGAGTGGGGAGCAACCACCAGATGAGACGAAAGCAGCGGAGATCTGCAGTGGCTTCCAGAAGCTATCACAAGAAGTTCCTCTGGGAAAGAGCACCTGTGTCCCAGCCAGCATCCACTGCCATTTCTCAGCTACCACATCGACCACTGAACCCTCAACCCCACCTATACCTAGAGGAGCAATAACTGGAGCCTTGGCCCTGCCTCCAACAGGAAGAGCATCCAACGGAGCTATAGCCCCACCTGCACCTAAAGGAGTGACCACCTAAGCCTTGGGTCCACTTCCACCAGGAGGAGTGATCACCATAGGCTCTGCTCTGCTTGCACCTGAAGGAGTGATCAATGGAGCCACAGCCCCCAAGTACACCAATTGGAGATAGAGAGACCCCCTGAAGCACAAGCTCTAACTATACCAATTGGAGGAAGAGATGCATAGACAACAAGGTAAGAACACATTCAACAATATAAAGGGTAATACTGCACCACTAGAAACTAGTACTGTTACAAGAGCAAGACCTGAACATCCAACAAAGATGAAGCAGAAGAAAACAACCTAAAATATAATTTTATGAGGATGGTTGAGATGCTTAAAGAGGAAGTGAAAAATTACCTTAAAGAAATGGAGGAAGGGGCTGGAGAGATCGCTCACTGGTTAACAGTACTGGCTATGCCAGGGAGGCAGAGGCAAGTGGATCTCTGTGAGTTCGAGACCAGCCTGGTCTACAAGACCTAGTTCCAGGACAGCCTCCAAAGCCACAGGGAAACCCTGTCTCACAAGACAGAGAGAGAAATGGAGGAAAAGACAAACAAAAAATTGGAAGAAATCGACAAATCCCTTAAAGAAAACCAAGAAGCAATGTAACAAATGAAGGAAACAATTCAGACTTGAAATCTGAAATACAGGCAATAAAGAAAACACAAATAGAAGGAATTCTGGAAATGGAAAATCTGGGTAAATAATCAGAAACCACACATGCATGCATAACCAACAGAATGCAAGAGATGGAAGAGAGAATTTCAGTCATTGAAGATATGATAGAGGAAATAGATTCATCAGTCAAAGAAAATTTTAAATCCAACAGATCCTTAACACAAAACATGCAGAAAATCTGGGACACCATGAAAAGACCTAATCTAAAAATAATAGGAATAGAAGAAGGAGAAGTTCAACTCAAAGGCATAGAAAATATATTCAACAAAAACATAGAAGAAAACTTTCCCAGCCTAAAGAAGGACATGCCTTCTCTGCCTTCCTCTCCCCAGCCTTCTCCTGGTCTGATAGCACTGCCTATGCTTCCTACCTGGCTACTGGTCAATCAGTGTTTTATTCATCAACCAATAAGAGAAACATATATACAGAAGGACATCCCCTATCAGGATCGTTGAGCGGGAGAGAGATGCAGTGGAAGAGCAATGAAAGATATCTTAATAGAGAGAACCACTATGGGCTTAGGGAGAAATCTAATGCTAGGATAATTACCAAGAATCCACAAGGATGACCCCAGCTAAGACTTCTAGTAATAGTGGATGACCAAACAGGCCTACCCCAGTAATCATATTGGTGAATACCCCAACTGTCATCATAGAGCCTTCATCCAGTAATTAATGGAACTAGATGCAGAGATCCACAACCAAGAACCAGTCCGAGAGCTCCAGGAATTCAGTCAAAGAAAAAGAAGAATATATGCACAAAGGAGGTCAAGATCGTGATGGAGAAATCTACAGAGAGAGCTGAACCAAACTCGTGGAAACTCACGAACTCTAGACTGACAGTTGTAGAGACTCCAGGCAACTGAACTAGGTCCTCCATGTGTGGGAGACAGTTGTGAAGCTTGGACTATCTAAGGGATCCCTGGCAGTAGGACCATGATACACACCTGGTGCATGAGCTAGCTTGTTGGAGGTCACTCCCTGTGGTGGGATTCCATGCTCAGTCTTAATGCATGGGAGAGAGTCCAGGCCCTGCCCCTATTATGTCAGACTATGTTGATTCCTCATGAGGGCCCTTACCCATGAGGAAGAGTGGCCTGGGGGTGAGTTGGGGGAAGGGGAAGGGTGGCAGGAGAAGGGGTGGGAGGAAGAACTGTGGTTGGAATATAAAAGGAAATTTAAAAGAATAAATTTTAAAAACTAAAAGAGAATAGGCTAGGGAGATAGTTCAGTTAATAAAGTACTTGTGGGGACCTGAATTCAAGCCCGAGAACCAATGTAAGAAAAAGAGCTGAACATGTGTATCTCTTGAAGAATAACACCAATGATGTCATCTGACTTCCACATACATTTATGTATATGTATACACACAAAGTGGTCACTAGAAACTGCACCCAGTTTAGGCCTGATGAGGATAAACTCAAAAAGAGCTCCAAATCACACTAGAAATGTTTCTGGGGGAGGAAAGAAGAGGCTAGAAAGATGGCTCAGCAGTTAAGATCACTTGTTGTGCTTTAATCCCAGCACTCTGGAGGCAGAGGGAGGCAGATCTCTGTGAGTTCGAGACCATCCTGGTCTACAAGAGCTAGTTCCAGGACAGCCTCCAAAGCCACAGAGAAACCCTGTCTCACAAGACAGAGAAAGAAATGGAGGAAAAGACAAACAAAAAATTGGAAGAAAAAAAAAGAACACTTGTTGCAGCCAGGTGGACACACCTTTAATCCCAGTACTCAGGAGGCAGAGCCAAGAGGATCCCAGTGAGTTTGAGGCCAGCCTGGTCTACAGAGCAAATTCCAGGACAGCCAGGACTGTTACCCTAACCCTGTATCGAAAAATGAGATAAATAAATAAATAAATAAATAAATAGCACTTGTTGCTCTTGGAGAGAACCCAAGTCCAGTTCCCAGAACCCATACGATGATTCACAACATCCACAACTCCAGTTGCAAGGGATCCATCACTCTTTTCAATCTTCCACAGGTATCAAGTATAGGGTAAAACGGCCAGCTAAAGAAGCACACTTTGAGCAACTGACACTACAGCCACCTCTGGCCCTAGACCAACTGAAGCATGAAACCAACCAATCCCTGAGTACCTTGACTCTGAACTCAGAGCCAGTGAAAGAAACACTTTATCCCTGAGCCCAGAACCAAAGAAAAACACCCTGACTTTAAAACCAGTGCCACAGTGAAAGATCCCCCCCCACGCCCTAAAATTGGAGCCAAAAGGCTTTAAAAAGGCCAGTGAAAACAACACAAGTTTTCCCTGAAATTAGAACCATCTCTGCCTCTTACCCACTAAACTAACCAGTCCCTGAGCAGGAAAACTAAACAATCCCTGAGCAGAAACCTCTCCCTGGGAAAACTCTGCTCCCAAGAAGCCCTATGTAAGCCCGTCTGCTTGCTCAGTTGTTGGCTGTCCTTTCCCAACTTTGCAGAGGCAGCCACTCTCCTAGACTCCTCCTTCCCAAATAAATCTTTCTCAAAAGAGTCTGGGGTGAAGATCTTCATTTGCCAGCACAGAACAGAAGAACTTGCTAGGGCATGCCCTTAAGGAGACTTGAGGCTGAGAAGAACAAAAGAAACTTGCTGTGTGACATTCCTTAAGGGGTTACGCAAGTCAGTAGCAGAAAAGTAACAACTATTAGAGACAGAGGAGATTACTACATTTCAGCAGGGGCTTCCACTTTAGCAGACTGTAGCCTTAAAAGAAGCCATTAACTCTGCTAGGATATTCCCTTAGGGGAACAGAGCAGGGCTCAACTGTAATGGCCCTCTCTGGGAGAGGAGCAGGATTGCTATAGTTTCTGCAGAGAAACTATCACCTACTGCACCACAGCCTCAGGTAGCCTGGCTTCCCAAAATGTCAGGACATCTTTCCCTCCAGGGCTGAGCTATCCTGTTAAGGCTCCTCCCTCCAGAGCTATCCTATTGCAGCTCTAGGTAACCTGATTTCCTGACAAGTCAGGGCACATTTCTCTCCAGGGCTGAGCTGTCCTATTGTTTTTCTTCCCCTCCAGAGTTGTCCTATTGTGCTCTAACCCTCCACAGTCGTGCAATTGCTGCTCTACATAGTCTGGCTTCCTGATAAATCAGGACACCTTTGCAGCTCCAGAGCTGTAATACACTCGCTTACATTTTGGTGCCAAAACCTGGCACTCACATTTATTTATACCAAGCATACACATAGTACACATACATATGTGCAAGCAAAATACTTCTTTCTATACATTAAATAAATATAAAAATGTTTTTAGCCGGGTGTTGGTGGCGCATGCCTTTAATCCCAGCACTCAGGAGGCAGAGGCAAGCAGATCTCTGTGAGTTCGAGACCAGCCTGGTTTCCAGGATAGGCTCCAAAGCTACAGAGAAACCCTGTCTCGAAAAACAAAACAAAAAATGTTTTTAGAGAAAAATAAATGTTTCTGGAACATCTCCTGGAACGTCTGATCACGAAGGAATGGCCATGCAGAGTATCTGAAGGTCCTACACACACACCCTAGAGATGTCCTGTGGATGCATCCCGTCTCCTTGTGGCCATCTCTAAACTGTCAGAGCCACAGCCCAATGACGGTGTCAGGCAATTTGAGAGTCCCTTCCAAAAGTTAGATGTGCCAGATCTCATTCACATTACTCACATTACTCACATTACTCCCCTCCAGGTTTATGGGACAGGGGAGGAGGGAGGGAAGAAGGTAAAAGCCTTTCCCTGGACAGCCCAGGGCAGCTATACTTACTAGCTTGTGTTCTTCACTCACCTTGCTGCTCTTGATGTGGCTGTCATAGTCTTGGAAGAGCTGATGATACGCTGCTTGCAACTGAGCCAGCTTCCGCCTGTGCAAAAGGGGCTGTCACTGAAGAAACTGCTTTGTCCCAGTACAGCCACAGCTTGCCTGGTACAGCTTCACCCTCTTCCTTCTTGTCCCATAAAAGACCTGAAATGTGGGCTTCCTGGATTACATGTAGGCTCCTGGGGCCATCAACTCTGAGGCAGGCTTTGCTGACTGCAAGGATACACTGAAACTGATTTGGCTGCTACACAGTTCATGTTTTCCTTACATCTTGGGATATTTCTAACAAGGGCTAGGGTACAACTCAGGAGTAGAACCTTGGGCTAGCACCAAAAAGAAAATAAATAGGAGAGATGTTTACAATAAAATGACATCTGACTGCATTCAGCACAAAACAAAGAGGCAAGGAGACTGTTCTAAATTAAAGAAAACTCAAAAGGATGCTGAACCAGATGCCAATAGCATGTTTAGAGCCTGTGCAGGCACTGTGGGCCCAGGTGAGTCTTTAGGGCCACCATGGCTCCTTGCTTTCCTTACACCTAGAGCATATGTCAACTGTGGTGAAAAGAACCTGTGTAGGACATATAAATAAACTATGAATGTGGATAGAAAATACTTCTGTTTACATATAATAGTTGACTCTGTCATTATCAAGGCAAAGTCAGCTCTTTTATTCACAGGGAGTCCCTACCAGAACTCCCCAGAAGGCATAAAACACCATGGGTGCTCTGGGATCTCTTGGTACCAACCCTTACAGCCACTCACTTCTCCTCTGAAGCAGCCTGGCGCTCCATTCGCAGGGCAGCCTCCACACTCTGGTTCTGCATGCGCAGCTGGTCCACCTGCACGCTGTGCTGCTGCTGCAGCACCTCCCGCTCACTCTCCAGCTGTCTAACCTGCTCACTAACTGCTCGCATCCTGACATGCAACAAAAAAGAACACACTGAGGGGGCTGGAGCAAGACAGCCTGGGGAAGGGGTCAGGTCCTAACTAGCCTATGTCTAAGAGCTGATTCTGGTAAGACAGTAAAGGGACCATGGCAGCCAGAAGATGGAAAATAAGAAGCATCTCCTGCAACTGGCCCTGAGGTCATAATAGTAGAAAAGCTGCTCTTCCCCAAAACCAGCTGCAACACTTGGGAGAGCAGGCCCTTTACCTTACCTGGGTAACACAATAGAGCCAACATTGTTGGCAGAGGTGTGGGTGAGCCAGCCCCAAAGTTGTAAGCATAGGAAAGCTGTCCCCACTACTTGCCTGTCATGTGGCAATGTAGGTGGTAAGAGATGTTCCCCCTTTACCCCTCGCCCATCTCCACCTGCAACAGACAAGAGAGCTGATCCTCCCCCTTACTAGCTGCAGCATTCAGGATTCAGTTCCTGCCTCTTGCCTAGGCAGCACAGCAGAACTGCTCAGTGGTTGGAGGTGATGGTGACCCAGCCCCAATGCTATGAGCCAAAGAGAGCTGCCCCCATTACTTATCTGTGGTAGTCCCACATCCCACCCATCAACACCTGAGACATGTGGAGAAGCTGGTCCTGCGGTCATAAGAATAGGAGAGCTGTCCTTACCCCTCACCAGCTGCAGCACTTGGGAGAGCAACCGCCTGTCACACATCTGAGCAACACAACAGAGCTGGCCCTAATGGTGCCAGTGTGGGAGAACCAACCCTAAGGGTGTGAAAGCAGGAGAACTGGTGCCACCCCTCGCTCATTGCTGCAAGAGGTAAATTAGCCGGGAGCAATGCTGGAGAGCTCACCCTGGTGGTGAGGACAGGGGAGGACTGGTTGGCAGACCAACCCTACAGCTGCCCAGGCCCAGATCCAGGGTTATGAATTGACCTAACCCTAATATCCATCCTATTTATGATCTGCTGGACCTGACATGCAGACCCAAAGCTGCAGAATCTCCACAACACAGGGCAACAGCAGGATATCCAGGAAGAGTCCTAGTGAGGGCCGAGTATCAATAGTGTAATAGGAACCAGAAACATCAAACCAGACCAATGACTCTTTGTAGTGAACACTTACAATTAACAATATATGGAGACAAAGGGATTTACAGCATGATTGTGTCACACTGTAGCTTCCAAACACTCACTTTTCTGCAAAGAGTCAGAAACATTAGTGCATGCCTCACAGAGGATGCCAATGTAACTGACTCCCAATAGAAACATGGGGTTCAGAGTCTCCAATGAAAAATAGTTCATGGGGGCTCTGTGCTTTTCATAGGAGTGACTGTGTAATGTATCCAGTCTTCTTTACCTAGGACTATCTGCCTTGGTGGATCCCACTGCATACCTTTCCATGATAAACTTCAGTCTGGATAGTGAGATCGTGAGTGTGGCCTTAAGGGGGCCCTGCAATGCTTCCTAAAGAATAAACTGAACCCGAGTGTAATGGTTTGAATGAAAACAGCCCCCATAGGCTCATAAGGAGCAGCATTATTTGAAAAGATTTTTGTCGGAGTGGGTGTGGCCTTGTTGATGGAAGTGTGTCACTGGGGGTGGGCTTTGAGGTTTCAGATGCTCAAGCCAGGCCCAGTGTCACTATCTCTCCCTGCTGCCTGCCAATCCAGATGTAGAAATCTCAGCTCCTTCTCCAGCACCATGTCTTTCTGTATGCTGCCATGCTTCCTGCCATGATGATAATGGACTGAACCTCTGAATGTAAGCAAACCCCAATTAAAGGTTTTCCTTATAAGAGTTGCCGTGGTCATGGTGTCTCTTCACAGAAATAGAAACCCTAACTAAGACAGCAAGTAAAGGGTCAGATACTGGAAACAAAAGTGGAACTAGATTCCTGGATATCTGGCCAGGGCTCTCCCAAGGCAGACCTGAAGGCTCCAGGGAATTTAAGAAAAGACTTGTCAGTCCTTCCTCTCTTAGGGGAGAGGAACTCCTGGAGCCTCACTCAAAACCCTGGAAAGGGCCTCCTGGAGTAGCTTCCCCTCCCCACTCACCTTCCCTCTAAAGTTTGTCGTTCTTTGGTGGCAGCCTCCAAGCGACTCTGGCTCTCCTGGAGTTCCCCTAACAATGATGTCACCTGGGCTTTCACAGAGGCCTTGTCCTCAGCCATCTGCTGCAAGAGAAAAGGGAATTTCCTATCAGTACTACTTTCTCCCATGATGCCCAGTTTTGGCATCCCCAAGGGCTGAGGCAGCCTACAAGCAGCTGATGTACTAAGGGCTACTCTTGCCCCTCAGCACCTATAAACCTAGGTACATTGGAGCCTCATTAGCCCAATGGCTATCTGTCCTCTCCCAGTCACCAACTTTGACTTTCAGCTGGTAGTAAACCTTTCTCAGTCTCTTTGAAACTCTGAAAAGGGAGACCAGACCCAAAGACAGCAAGAAAAATAAACAACCTAGTCCATATATACAACAGGTGAAAAGTTTCAAAAAATGAGAGAAGATGCTGAATTTTTATAAATACTGAGAGCTGAACCAGCAAGAAGAATTGTCGGGTAAAGGTACTTGCCACCAAGGCCTATGACCCAATTTTGATCTTCAAAACCTACATGGTGGAAGGAATGCTGGGGGTATTAAACCATACTCAGCTCAGCCAAACTTTAAGGTTGACCAAACATTAACATGCCTTCAAACAGCTTAAGATCACATTCCTGGAATGTCCCAGACCCCTTCCTGGTTCCTACTTGCAAATTCTCAGAGTTGTTAAAGGAACAGACTATTCTGACCAACACTTGATATAGGCTGGAAAGCTAGTAAGTACTACCAGCCATGACTCCTTCCTGTATCCCTCTCAAAGTCCATGTATTCCCTATGATCCTAACGCTGTCTCAAAAAACCTGAGTGCTACTCCTTTGAAATGCAATCATCAAAAAGGATAGGACTCAGACTCCTAGTCTCCTAGTATGGTAAAAACATACATTTGATTTGTACAAGCTCATAAACACACTGGCCTCATCACATCGACACTAATACCCTTTGTCATTCACTTCAGCTCCCTTCCCCTGCCCAAATCCTCCATTTTCTTTCTATCTCTATTTCTGTCCTTATTTTTTGAAGTACTAAAAATTGAACTCCAGGCCTTACACATGCAAAGTATATACTCTTATTATTGAACCACACTCTAGTACCTACTGTCATTTTAAAATTCCCAGTCATTGAGTGGAGAGATGGCTAAGAGTACTTGTAGCTCTTTAGAAGATCAGAGTTCAGTTCCTACCACAACAACCATCTAGTAGCTTACAGCCACCTAGAATTCCAGTTTGAACCAGCCAGAATGGCTAAAATCAAAACCACCAATGACAGTCTATGCTGGAGAGGATGTGGAGAAAAAGGAACACTCCTCCATTGCTGGTGGGAGTGTGAACTTGTAAGACCACTTTGGAAATCAGTATGGCGGTTTCTCAAGAAAATGGGAATCAGTCTACCACAAAATCCAGCAATTCCACTCTTGGGCATATACCCAAAAGAAGCACATTCATACAACAAGGACATCTGTTCAACAATGTTCATAGCAGCACTATTTGTATTAGCCAGAACCTGGAAGCAACCTAGATGCCCCTCAACTGAAGAATGGATAGAGAAAATGTGGTATATTTACACAATGGAATATTACTCAGCAGAAAAAAACAACAAAATCTTGAACTTCGAAGGCAAATGGATGGAACTGGAAGAAACTATCATGAGTGAAGGTAACCCAATGACAGAAAGACAAACATGGTATGTACTCATTCATATATGGATATTAGACATAGAGCAAAGGACTACCAGCCTACAATCCACACCACCAGAGAAACTAGGAAACATGGAGGACCCTAAGAGAAGAACACATGATTCTCCCAAAGAAGGGGAAAGGGACAAGAACCCCTGAGCAAATTGGGAGCACAGAGGGAGAGGGGATGGAGGGAGGAAAAAGAGAAGGGGATAGAGGAGGGGGGAGGAAAACAAGAGGGATCAGGAAGACTGAGACAGGGGAGGAATAGAGGAGGGCAAGAAACAAGATACCTTGATAGAGTGGGCCAGTATAGGTTTAGAGAGAGGTCTGGCACTAGGGAAATGTTCAGGGATCCACAGGGATGACCCCAACTAAGAATCTAAGCAGTAGTGGAGAGGCTGCCTTTGATGCCCTTCCCCTATAATGAGATTGATGACTACCTTGGTTGCCATCCTAGAGCCTTCATCCAGTAGCTGATGGAACCAGAACCAGACACCCACAGCTAAGCACTGAGCCATACTCCTGGAATCCAGTTGTAGAGAGGGAGGAGGGATGAGCAAAGGAGCCAAGACCGTGCTGGAGAAACCTATAGAAACATTTGACCTGACCTAGGGAGAGCACAGAGACCCTAGTCATAAAGTTGGGGAACCAGCATTGGACTGAACCAAGCCCTCTGAATGTGGGTGCCAGCTAGGAGCCCAAAACAGTCTATGGGACCTTTAACAATGGAGCCAGTCTTTATCCCTAGAGCACAAATGGACTTTGGAAGCCCATTCCCTGTGGAGGAATACTATTGCAGCCCAGATACACCAAGAAGGGCCTAGGCCCTCCCCCAAATGATGTGACAGACTTTGATGATTCCCCCATGGAAGGCCTCACTATCATTAGGGAGTAGGTAGGAGTAGGTTGGGGAGGGTTAGTGGGGAAGGATGGGAGAGCAAGGGAATGGGGGAATTGATACGTAAAATAAGATTTTTTTTCTAAAATAAAAAAATTATTTAAAAAAAAAGAATTCCAGTTTGAAGGGATTTGACATCTCTTCTGGCCTCCAAGAGTACCTACACACATGTTACATATACAGACACAGACACAAACATCCAAACACATAAATAAAAATAAATCTTAAAAAATGATAACTATCCAGTCACCTGTGCTGATCACCAGAGCTCAGCTAGCTCTTTCCCTCTCATTGTTATCAGTTTTTGAACAAAATCTGTTTTCATGGCTTTAACAACTGTCCACCTTTATGTTTCACATTAGGATCCTTATAAAAAGAGGAGGGTTGTGAGACAGCTCATGGAGTCTCAGCCGGTAAAGATGCCTGCCATGAAGCCTGACAACCTGAGTTTAATCCCTGGGACTTACATGGTAGAAAGAGAAAATTGACTCCTGCAAGTTGTCCTCTGACCTACATACGCACACCATGGCATAATCATTCCCAGATGCATGAGTACATGCACAAACACACACACTACACAAAATAAAATGTAATAATTTTAAGAGAAGAGACAGAGGGAAAAGGCTATGTGACAAGAGAGCTGGGGAGTCCCAAGGATTGCCAACACTGATAATGTACTCGAAGAAGTACCCAGAATAGCCCTTGTGAGGAATCCACCTGCCCATACCTCCATCTCAGATCTCTGACCTCCAAAACTGGGGACAATCTCTGTTGTCTAAGCCCCCAGTATATGGTACCTTGCAGCTGTCTTCCCAGATAGGAACCAAATGTTTTGACAGGGCACTTCCAGCAGCATTGTGAACTTAGCCTTACACTGTTGAAACCTAACTATGGCAGCTCCTCCCTACCCTTTCTCCCCAGATTAACCCTCCAATGAGGTACAACACCTGTTCAACTGCTGTCCCCAGGGTCCTGAAACCAGCCAGTCCAAAAAGGCCCAGAAATATCCTCTCATCCCACACTAAGGACACCATCCTTTGGAGATAGTGCAATACAAGGCCAACTTACAGGCCTGGGACCAAATACTTTCTCCAACTGCACTTGGAGATCATCTCTGAGCCCCGAGAAATCCTGCCTAATGAGAGTACCTTGGTTTATCAGGGGCCTAGGGTCCTACCAGGCTGTTTGAGCTGATGCCAAGGTGTAAGTGAGGGCCTTAGAATATATGGTATGGTACCAGCTGGACTTCAGGGTGGCTAGGACCTGAGCAAGCTGGGTCAGGTGCCCAAGCACTCTGTGACTTCACAAATGAGTCCAGTATAAACCCTGGCTCCCAAGACATAGACATGCTTCCTGGGTGACACCGCTCTATGTATACTGCCCGTACTGCTCACAACAAAACCACTGTTCCCTGAGAAGCTTACATCTGGACTCAACTGGCTCCTGCCCTACATGTCTTGTACCTTGATGATTTTTAATGTGGACCCTTTCACTGTAATAAACTAACAGTGAGTGTGATGACTTCTCTTGGTTCTGAAAGTATTCCCAGCAATCAAGCTGGAAGAGGTCTTGGGGGACCCCCCAACAACATGCCTCCTATGAGAACATGAATGTCATTATGGTCTTCAAACACAGGTGGAACAGAAGGGCTGCCTACCCAACAGCTACCTGTTGGCATTTCTTCAGGTGCTCCAAATCCTTTAAGACCTGTTCCCTCTGCCTCTGCAGGTCAAGCTTCTCCAAGCTCAGTCTCTCCACCAGCTTCCTGGCTTCCTGGAATTTGCACATGAGGAACTCCTTCTCCTCCCGCTGGCTGACCTGAAAATGCAGCAGCTCCTCACAGCGTTCCCTTAGCATCTGATTGCTCTGCCGGATGGCATCTGGGGACAGGGAAAACAGCAAAGTAGATGTGAGTGCTGACAGCAAGGCACCCCTGAAATACTAGGCAGCCTTTCTCAAAGTCAAACCAATTTCCAGCCAATTCCACTGATGATATGCCCCCAAGTGTCTGCAATGCATTACTAAACACATCATTCTCACTTGAAGGGATACCTCAAATACAACTTTCTCTTTATGTGCTACATTTATATTCTGGTCAGTTGAGGGTATCCCTAGCCTGGAGCACTCAGTTTTAGTTCTGCCAGGCCTGCATCTATGTCTTCAGGATCAGGGGGCCCTAAACATGCCTGCAGACTTGAGAAAGTAGGGAGACAATCCCCAAGGTAAATTTCACTGTGTAGTTTCTGGCTACAGCCTAGAAGCACAGAAAGGACAAGTTAAAAATATCTCTAACTTTCATCATCTTCAGTTGCATATTCAAGAACAGCCGGGCGTTGGTGGCACACGCCTTTAATCCCAGCACTTGGGAGGCAGAGGCAGGTGGATCTCTGTGAGTTTGAGCCTAGCCTGGTCTCCAGAGTGAGTGCCAGGATAGGCTCCAAAGCTACACAGAGAAACCCTGTCTCGAAAATCAAAAAAACAGTTAATGCTTACCTTACAAAATGAGGGTGACATGAAGGAGACAGGGTGCCAGTACAGAAGACACAGTCAAAGATCTCTTCTCACCAGAGCTGACCACCCTCTTCCAAGAGCAGGCCACACTACATCTTAGGAAATAAAGTTCTCTCTCCCAAGGAAAACTATATTCCCTCACACCTAAAAGTTTGCTGTGTCCTGAGAAAGATGAAGCCTACTACCATTAATCCCTATACCCCACTTTCCCCACTACCCACATGTCTTCTCAGCTTGTCCTCTTTCCCCCTTTCCCTTTCCCTTCCCTGGTGCTGGCCCTGAACCACATTTTTCCCTATATGTGAATCTTCACAGAGAATCCCACCTGAAACCAAGCAGGAAGATAGCTAAGTTTGAAATGACGGCTGTTTCCTAGGAACACCATAACCTCATCCATACCCTACCAATAATAAGGTGCAAGTGAAAATAAGTTTGTCCTTACTGTGCCAGGCCCCTCCTGACTTTTTACTCCATGCCTCCCTCACAGTGAAAACTTCACCTCTGAGCTCTTGGTTCTCTTCCAGGCAGCGCTGGAGGGTCTCAGGAGTACCCTGCTCTGAAGGCAGCTGTAACATTGCCGGCTTCCCCAGAGAAGATTCTTCACCCTGCATGTCCTGGTCCCCTGCTGGGCCACCACTGGGCTGCACCATTTCACTCAACTGATTCTTCCAGAGGTGCTTACTCATCCAACAAGGCAGTGTCTAGAAGAAAGACAGTAGAAGTGCATGACACAGAGCAGAGTTCTGTCAACCAGCACAATGCATTCAATCTATACAGAAGCCCTAGACTTCCATTCATACCAAAAGGCTGTACATTTTATCTAGTGGAATCAGATACAAAAGTGGAGTTTGGATCTAAGACATAGCAAATATTCCCATTCCAATGAGAGAGTTATTTGTGGAAGGAAAGGGCAGCATATTTGGGAATTCTATCTCCTCACTTAATGTAGTAGAATGGTTGATATATCCATGTCCTAATCCTACAACTCAAAGACCTCCTCTCAGTGGAATTGGCCACACACTTCCAAGAGCAGGCCACACTCCATCTTAGGAAAAAACTCTCTCTCTCCCAAGGAAAACTATATTCCCCTCCCACCTAAAAGCTTGCTGTGTCCCAAGAAAGTTCAAACCTACTCCCACTGATCCCTATAGCCCACTTTTCTCCTTACCCACCATGGCTTCATAGCTTGTCCTCTTTCCCAATAAATGTGACTTTACTTGGAAAAAAGGATCTTTACAGATGTGATTAAATTAAGGATCTCAAGCCAAGCAGGGTCTTTAATCCCAGCACTTAGGAGGCAGAGTCAGGCAAATCTCTTATGAGTTCAAGGCCAGCCCATTCTACATAGTAAGAATCTGTCTCACAAATATTAGGCCTCTCAAATTGAGATCATCCTAAGTTACATGGTTTGGCCATGACATCAATAAAAAGTACCCTTCTGAAAGACAGATGAAACAGGACTGGGAATGTAGTTCAGTGTTAGAGCATTTACCTAGCATGCACAAGGCCCTAGGTTCAATTCCCAGTTCCTCACATACACACAAAAGAGACAAGAGAGAGAAAACAGGTGGAAATACAGGGAGGCAGCCATGGGAAGACAGAAGCTGAAATTAGACTGATGTAACCACAAACTAAAAACAACTGAGCCACTAGCAGCTGAAAGACACAGGAAGGATGCTCTTGTACAATTTGCAGGTGGAGTGTGGCCTTGCTGACCCTCTGGCTTTATTCTCCTGGCTTCCAGAACTGTGAGATGTTAAATTTCTGCTGTTTTAAGCCACCAGGCCTGTGGTCATTTCTTATAGGAATCACAGGAAATTCAAACACTTGGTAAGAGAATTTAGGAGACCACATTGTACCTGAGGAGTGTTCCTTGGGAGGATAGAAGAGACCTCTGGTGTTTTCTATATGCTAAGAAATTTGAAAGTGGGACTTGCAGTGTCAGTCTGAGACAAATGACCCCTGGTCTGCTTATGTTGGTTTATAAACCAGATGAAGAACATGCTGGGCAGAGCTAACCTGAAGACTTTCTAAATCCTGCCTAAAACTGACTGCCAGGAAGAGGACAATCTCAATACAAGCTTCCAGAAGTGGACCTTCAGTAAGGTAGGATGCCTGTAACACTGAAGAATCTTGGCTATTTACACTAAAAGTGTTGATACCCATAGATCCATCTGCCCAAGCTCACCCAGCTGACCTTTCCCTCTGCTGCTTCTTCTTTATTTATTTATTTATTTATTTATTTGGTTTTGTGTTTTGAGACAGTGTTTCTCTGTGTATCTTTGGAGCCTGTCCTGGCACTCACTCTGGAGACCAGGCTGGCCTCGAACTCAGAGATCCACCTGCCTCTACCTCCCAAGTGCTAGGATTAAAGGCGTGTGCCACCAATGCCCGGCGACCCTTCCCTCTTCTTCACCTGCTTTTTCCTCCAGCTTCCAGAAAAGCCTATTCTAGTGTCCCTCACTCTCTCAAAGGATGAATGTGCTGAGGCCTTTTCACTGAGTTCCCATTCCTTCATGTTGAGATGCCTTGGGGCCTTTTCCAAAACACATTCACCCCTGCAGTAATTCTCTCCAGTCCCATGGCTTTAACCCAAATCTTAATATTGATAAAACCCAAACAGTTCTCACTCCTAAATTGCAGACTCAAATATAAAACTACTTGGATACTTAGAAGTCTACTCAAAAAAAAGAAGAAGAAGTCTACTCAAGGGGCTGGAAAGATGGTTCAACTGTTAGGAGTACTCAATGCTCCTCCAGAGCATTTGGTTCCTAGCACCCATGTTGAGCAGCTCACAACTATCTATAACTCTAGTTCCAGGGGATCCAATGTACTCTTCTGGTCTCTGACACAGACACACACACACACACACAGAGGTGTG